GTTTACTGTTCGCGCGTTCAGAGTAAGTTTTATAGTTTTTTCAACAGTATTTTGAATGCTTGAAGGTAATGTTTGAACGATTTGGATGCATAAAGTTTTAGAAAATTGCGAAGATTATTCGAGGATTTCGTTTGGAATTTTATTGATATTCATAGTGAGTGCCATGTAAATGTAGCGTGTCGTTTGCAGTTATTGGATTCAAGTGATACTGGACTGTTGACATTTCGTGATGTAGCGTGCTTGTTGTCATCATTGCTCAAAGGCGATACTACGGAAAAAATTTCTGTTTTTTATAGGTAAATGGTTGAGATATTTATGTTAGAACTGTTATTGTTGTGTGTATTAGTATTATTTCCGATGTGAATATGGTAATTTAAACAGAGTTTCGACAGAAATGAATTTATTTGAAATTCAGTGATTTTTCAGGTGTCATATACCTCCAGCCTTCAACATGTCTGATCTTGACGATATTATACCGCCGCACTTACAAAATTTTGAAGGTTGGTCTAAATTCTAGTGAAGTTCTTTCGACGTATTCATGGAAAAGCGAAAGTGTGCATAGGTAAATATCAATCGAATCAGGGTTAAGAGCTTGTTAAGAGTGTGGTCACTTTTACAGAAGATATGAGGGGAGGATTGAGTAAGGGAACAGATTCGTTTTCAAGTGTAACTTCAAGTTTCTAGATGATACAGAAGTCGGAGTGGAGGCAACAGATGCATTGGGCAGTCCTCTGCAGACTTCACCAAGTCATTTCGGTGTGTACACTTCTGCGGGGGTGCATCAGAAAGGTATCAGTATTGACTCAAGACGCAAGCATTCGTCAGATCTCGATGAAACACCAAAGAGTGGAAGTATATTCAGCGATTTAGGTGAGTTTCGCGATGTGTTTTTGTTTGTTTTCATTAAAATTTTGAATGTATCTCGGTGACACCAAAAATTTTTCCATCAGTATTATTTCATCGGAAAATCTTACGAACTGACTCGCGATTTTTGAGGATTTATTTGGAAATGGCACTGATTTTTGCGGCTAAACGATCCCAACTGATTTAGATCTAGGAAATTTTACTGGAAAAACGGTTCCGCATTTTTGTGTTTAAGTTTTCGGCTTTAAGTGATTTTTATATTCCAAATTCGAATGTGTCAGTTTCAAATTTTAGGTTTGAAAGGTAAATTATCGAGAAGTTATAATGATGAGGAATCAGTAAGTTATAATAGTGGCAGTAGTTATACTAGTGGCGCTGATGGAACCGTCAGTCAACAGATGATCGCATCTGGAGCTATGAAGCCAGCAAAATCAAGTCCTGTAGGGGGGAATGGAGATAGAACCGGAGGTGATTTGGTGGGTGAAGGCGTGCAACGGGAACGAAGTGCAACAGACTTCAGTGATTTATCGCCATCGGGTTCGTATGAAAGTTTAAATATTGCTTGTTTTATTTCAATATAGTAACATTTCAGTATAGTTTATATATTGTTCATTTCAATATAGTATTCAATACTTCATTTCGAAATACTGAAGTGTTTCACTGGTGTGAACTGTGTTCGTTGAGTGAATCAGTGTAACGTCTGTCGTGAATAAAGATATTCACGATTTTTTGATTCATCTTTACTGTGCAATATCTATCTCTTATCAAATTATTCCATCTTATTTTTGAATATATCGAAAATATATTATTTCTGTAATATATATCTCACGTCATTTTATATAACATCATTTCCTCTTATCGTGGCATAATCTAACTAATATTTTGAAGCTAAATTTGTTCTGCTGATTGTTGTTGTGTACGTGTAAGTAAATCGAACG